ATCAAGGCAGCAGCATTGGCTTCATTCTTCAATCGCACGGCGATCCTGGGGATGGAGAAGATCCAGGAACACATTCCTCCAAAGGATGTGCAACTGCATCAGGATTTGAACAAGTTAGTGGCAGTGGCGCAGTTTTCGGCTGATGCCACACTAAACGCGATGAAGTTTGCTTCCAGGGCTATGGCGTCATCTGTGACCTCCCATCACCTCCTCTGGCTCAGGGGCTGGCAGGCGGAGAGCAAGTCCAAATGGCAGCTGGCATCGGCCAACTACACAGGGGGCTCCCTCTTCGGGGCAGCCCTGGAACCGCTCCTCATGGAGAACAAAAACAAGAAAAAAGTTTTACCCACCTCAGCGAAGAAGGCGGAACAAAGGTCAACCCCATTTTACCGCAAGCCCTCGTACCGGCTCCCGGAACAGGAGGCTCAGCAGAGCAGGTACTCTTTTCCCAAGTCAGAGAGGACATCTGACCGCAACTTCAGTAGGGACAGATCCCGCTTCCAGCCTCAGAGTAAGTGGCCCTTTCGAGGGAGAGGTGGGCACCCCTACTGCCGGGGCAAATAGGTCGAACCCAACTCCACCCATTGGTGGTCGCCTGGCTCTCTTCTCCGAGGCCTAGGCGAGAATTTCCTCTGACGCCTGGGTAATCAACACTGTCTCACACGGGCTTCGGCTAGAGTTCCTTTCCTCCCCCCCCAACCACTTTCGCACATTTCCCCCAGTGCAAAATCTAGTCAAACACAGGCAGATGCGTCAGGCCATTAAGCATCTGCTTGACATTGCCGTGATAGAATCAGTCCCCTCGGACCAGGTGGGCCAGGGGTTCTACTCCAATCTGTTCCTCATGCCAAAAGTTTCGGGGGGTTGGAGAACTATTCTCGACTTGAAGCTCTTGAACCAACATCTTGTGTACTGCAAGTTCAAGATGGCCTCGCTTAAATCCATTCTAGCAGGCATACGGGAGGGGGATTACATGGTTTCTATAGATCTCACGGAGGCTTATCTCCATATTCCCATCCTCCCAGGCCATAGGCAGTACCTGCGGTTCTCCTACCTGGGCCTCCATACAGGGCCCTTCCCTTTGGGTTATCCTCTGCACCTAGATCATTCACCAAGGTACTGGCGGTGGTGGCAGCCTACCTAAGGGACTTTCCCATTAGGCTACATTGCTATCTGGATGATGTCCTCGTCCAGGGGGCATCCCCGGGTCAGATGAGGGCGGACCTCTGCCAGGTTGTGCACACCCTTCAGGGGCTGGGGTTCTCCCTCAACTTTGAAAAGAGTTTCCTCACCCCGTCAACTAGAATTCTCCATTTAGGGGCGGTCATAGACTCCCATGCAGGAAAAGTTTTTCTCTCCCCGGACCACAGGGCCAGTTTGGTTAAAATGATTAAGCAGGTCCGTAGGGACCGTTATGTTCCCATAGCCCTTCTATCCAGCTTGTTGGGCAAATTCATATCCTGCATCGAGGTAGTACCGTGTGCACAGTGGCACACCAGGACTCTGCAGTGGCGAGTCCTACCGTTCCAGAGAGCCAACACCAGCAGCTCACCGGCCAAGATCGAGGCCACCCCCTCAGGTACAGATTTCCCTCAAGTGGTAGCTGTCCCCAGCCTTGCTCAAGGGGTGCGAGTTCAGGGACCAGGAGCACNCTGCAACCAACATAAATATATGTCAGTTGTCAAACACCCAAACTTTGATCAAGTGATTGTGGGGATACTGTGACAGTTATAAGGGCAAGGACTGGTCATAAATCACCTTTTTAGTTGCCGTTGTAACTTTAAAGAGTCACTAAATGAATAGTTGTAAGTCAAGGATTACCTGTACTAATATCTCAGATAGATAAAGTAATTGCTATGTTTTGAGTGGCTACAGTTCAGTATTGGTGAAACTGTGGCTGTGACTCTATCCAGCATATTAGTTTAAAGGCTATTTCCACATACTTTTTTTTTGCTATATAATAGCATTTTATAATGTGATGCCTTCTAGACATTTGGACTTCCAACATCTAGATTTTTTGGCAATGATCACCCTGGCTGTTGAATTTCTGGGAAATGCCTAGCTACTACCAACATTCAGCATGATAATGGTACAGTTCTTCTTCAGTTGGATGAAGAAGGATGATGATGACAATGTTATAATGTATGATTATGCTTTAATATAACAATTTAATACCATAGACATTTTATGGTTGATGATCAGTGCTCAAGATTTTGATTGTTTCTGGATTTTTGCTGGCAGACTTGGCAGTATACAAATGCAATAAATAAATTTTAAAATCCAGGGTTTTGGAAGATATATAGTTTGGGAAAGGCTGAAGTAGAAATACTAAAGGGAAAGGAAAGATCCAATATAAAATTCTATTTATGCTGCCTCAAGCAATTGTTTTATTTAGGTATTGTGGGCGTTTTCTTGAAAATAGATTTGTTTTTCATATGATTTCATTAAGAGCTCTATATGCATTTACTTTATTTTCTGATGTTTCACATATATTTTTACTTGATGCTCTTTGATATGAATACTAGTAACTGTGCTGTGTAAAAGAGATGAGCAGAGTAATATTGAGTGTCATTCTCCACCCTCCACCAGTTCCAGCTGGTGAAATACATCTTCAGAATATAAAGCATTTTGGCTGCTGAATTGATACACTCAATGTACTGCATACACTTTTGTAGCTGTACAGTTTCATCTGGTTTATACATTATTTCTTTATAAAACATCTGCCACCATCTTTTAACTATAGTTCAAACATCACTGCAAGAGGGAGGGAATTGAAATGTTTTTAGTGAACAAAAAATGAAGCTGAGATTGTTCCAGTAACTTTCATACTCTTCTGCAGTCTGAACTATAGGAATGACTCTGCTATTTATCAGGGAAAGTGAATTCATGGCATTGGCTTGATTTCAGGAAAAATGCCCTCTTTAGAGCTGGACATTAAATTGGATATCTATAATATTAATCTCATTGACATATATTGAGATAGCTCTGTCTTTTCCATACAAATTTGTAAATTACTCCTTTTAGCCTTCCCTTATTTCAGTTCCATCCCAAATAACTTCATCACTTTTATTTTTAACTTCTGTCCACTTTTGTGGAGATTTTGTATTTACTTACCCCTTTTAACCTATTTCCAAAATTATACTGTCAAAATAACACTGCATTTTTTCTGCGGCTTTTAATCCTAACCATTACTTGTTCTCTTTGATTACATTTTTGCAATTATATTCCTCTATATCTACCTTATATAGTATCCCTCTCCCAATCATCTTTTCACCACTTATTCACTTACATTCATTTTTTCTTATCCATAGCTTCTCTCACTCTTTCACCCACCATCCCTTTCCATTTTCTCATAGCATAGCTACATACATTTTTTAATACTTTTCTACCTTTTATGTTAACTTTTATTTCATTCTGAGGCAAATTAATCTATTTCCTAATATATGTTAAATACAGGAATTGTATGTTACCTTTTTTCAGTTATTGTGTTGTCACTCTAGTTCAGGGTGGTCAAACTCACGTTGTCACGTTGGCATCACATGACATATGGAAACTTTTTCCCCTTTGCTAAACTGGGCTTGGGCGTGGCCAGCGCTTGAAGCCTATGGTTCGGGAGTTTGGCAGACCTGCTCTAGTTCTTTTTACAACCTTCATTTTCTTTTATTTCCATTCTTCCCAACATCCAATCTTGAGATTAACAAATAATGGTATGTCCCAAATTCAGAATGTTTAATTACTGTTTGCATCCTTCACTAATTCTCTCAGTCATTTGTCACAAATAATTCATATCAAGCACACTTCTAGATTTACATACTGAGAATCAAGTCAATTATACAAAAAAGTGTTAATGTTCCTGGGAAATATCTAATTCCACAAGAATATTTAAAGTTAAATCCAACATGGAACGCATCAATATTAGCTCCTCCTTTCTCTGTCACAAACAAATATTCAAAACAGGTATTTTACTAAATGAATACTTAGTCTCTCTTCTCACTCATTTTTTGGTGTATTGGTTAGTTGATTAAAATTAAGGAGATGGTTATGTAAACATCTACCTGCAAGTATTTCCATTCTCAAACCCAATTCCCTTGCTTAGGGAAAGCTATTAGAAGCAGTCCCAATTGTGGTTGCTNTCAACTCCCAGAATTCTCCAGCCAGCAGAGCTGGCTGGAGAATTCTGGGAGTTGAAGTCCACAAGTCTTAAAGTTGCCAAGTTTGGGAACCACTGCTCTAGAGGTTGTGAAAGCCCCTCCTGTAAATACCAGAGGAATTGCCGTCTTTAGACATGATCAAGCAAGCCTTCCTTTCAGCCTGGCTTTTAATAATATTTAGTCATTTAGACAGTTCTCATATGGGCTTCATGTCGATCGGAATATTTTAAGGTATTTTAATTGTACTGTACATCAGCCTTAGAGCTTTTGAAAGGTTAGTGCAGAACTAAAATACTACCATTTCCACTATTGCTATCTCTCTGAAAATATATGCGGGGAATTATTAACCCTAGATATTTTACAAAGCTGAATTACATTGATCTGTGGCCACGATGGATTTGCAGCTTCAGGCTGCCCCTAAACTCTAGCAGTGTGATTTTCCTATTTCTGGAGTCATCAAGCTGAGCTTCAATATTTTCCCTCCTGCTTGATCGTCCCTTGCTGACAACACTGCCCCTACAGGCCAGATGGTTGGCTAGCTTGTTACGGAGACTGACAAACCAATTGAGAGTGACCCTCCCCTGATACAGGAAAGGTGGCTTGTTGCCATTCTGTCTTCCGTGCTTAATGTTGAAGCAGAGTGCTTGGGCAGGAAAGTCAAAGGAAATAAAATGAGAAGCGGGGAGGGAGGGCAGAAGTAACAAAAAATTTGTGTGACTGCTAGGAAACTGAGAAAGCAACGGTCTGTAGATGCTAAACAGAATTAATAGGCCATCAAATCATACTTCAGTTTCTATGGTGGGAATCTGTTATCTGCAAGACTTATATGGGATTTTGGGTGCCCTGTAGGTGACAGTGATGACAGCTGTGATACGGTGGCTATCCGAGCCAAACCACGAGGAGTGAGGAATGTCTTGTATCTGCACCAGGAGGCGGATGAGGATGAGGATGAAGAAGAAGATGGGGAAGATGTGGAACAGGAACACGAAGGCAAGAAAGTAGTGGTAAGTGCCAGACGAACTGGTTAATACACAAGTATAGAACAAGGCTCGGGGGCTTCTGCTGTAGCTAAAACATGAGGGCTGCAGTGTGTTGTGGCCCCTCCAGCAGCCGAATCAGATGAGGAGGAGGCGTGGGAGTCAGGGTCAGCATCAAGGCAACTGAGGGAAGAGGGCGTGGAGCTGGCAAAGAGAGCTTGAGCTCTCCGTCAGCCCTCAGATGGAGAATCAACAGCCCACAGGTCTGAAGTCGGCTGGTGAGGAAGAAGAAGAACAGCTGAGTCCAGTGCCTGACACATGGATGCACAGATGGCAGAGGAGAGGAGAGCAGTGGAAATCTGTGGGCTGATCCTTGGGAAGGAAGGAAGACCCATGGCTTCTAGCAAAGCCACCCTAGTTCTGGGAATAAAAGGCAGGGTGCAGAGATGAATAGATGTGGCAGACAACTATTCATCTTCTGGCCAGCAGGATTTGTTAGTCAGCAATGAGAGAGAAACTTTTTGCCAGGGCTGCCGGCACTCCTAATTAAAGGAATCTTTTGAGTTCACTTCAGAGGGTTTATCCTGTTTGGGGAGCTGGGTCAGAACACAGTGTTTCTCCTTGCTAAAACAGTCTGCTTGTTTGGAATAATTGTGGCTGCAGAGGGGCAGGTCATTTGGGTGGCTCGACTTCTCTTAGGCGATCCTTTCAGCATGATCAAAGTGTTAGCAGATACTGCCTGATCACAGTTGGGACTCATTTTACCATCGGGACTTCGTTTCAAGCCCAGGAATCGTTATTACTCTTGGAATGCAACTTGTCAGAGGTTTTTGCGTATTTTATTTTTCCATCTAGCCCTTTAGGGATACAACCATAAATATGGAGCAGTACCTGATGTGGAAACTGAAAGGGATGTTTAAAAAAAAAAGGAAAGAAAAAGCAGTATTTTACTGCTAGGACATGTTTTCTCTTGACTTACAGATGCTGACAGACATAAACTGCGCTTAATGCATTGCCTTAAACTGCAGAATGCTATTTAAGGTCACAGAAGATAGTTTAGGAATTTAAGCTCCTTTTCTCAGAGTTCTGCTTGTGAGACTCCATCAAGTACGAGTCACGAGGAGCTTTTTTTTATGTACTGGCGTCCGCACATGAACTTTGCTTTTCAGCATATGGTTCTCTTGATTCTTAGCGCTGCTGTGCCTGTTGGCAGCTTCATTTCTGTGCTTAACGTTCACGTTCGGAATGCGTCATAGGACCGAGTTGTCACAGTTCATCGTTTGAACCCTGTCGATCTGGTCCTGCAAGGTCACATTTCCAGCCTTTGACAGATGCCGCCTGCTTCTTGGGATGTTAGCCTGCAGTCAGCCTGGGAGAGATTCTCCTCTGAAGCTGCTTCTCTGCCTGGATGTAGCTTTATAGCTCTCTCCAGACAGGCAGCAGCCACCTTGGGAGCAGCCGTACTATTTCAGAGGGCAGGCGAGATACGTTTGGGGGTGGGGTGGGGGAACAGTCTGTCAATGCTCTTTCTGTGCTTAGTGGCATATGACATGTCCCATCAGTGACAGTAATGGGAAAGGTTTGGCTGGAACTGGGGACACTGGAATTGGCTCTGAATTAAGGGCTCCTTTTGGTCAGTTCTGATATTGCACACTCAAAAACATTATTTAAAAAAACAAACAGGAACTTTCAGTCAACTAAGGTCTAATGCCAAGAGTCTGACTCACAGCTCTTAGTTATTTTCATATGACAGATTTTGGAAGATTTGTCCAACATCTGACCCAGCCAATACAGATTTCTTCAGGGTCAACCTGTGTTAAAATTCTTGGGTTTTTTCCCCCCTCTTATCTCTGCCAGGTGTTCTTCACCCGCAACGGAAAGATTATTGGCAAGAAAGATGCCGTGGTGCCATCAGGGGGCTTTTATCCCACCATTGGGATGCTGAGCAGCGGGGAGAAGGTCAAGGTGGATCTGCATCCACTCAGCGGCTAAAGATCAAGGGCTGGAGAATATGCCTCTTCTGCCACTCTGCAGGCTGCCGGATTGCTCCGGCTGTTCTTCATTGCAACTTTGGCCATTGCCTCCAGGAGTCTAACCGTCTTGACGTGGGGCCATATAGAGAGATATTTGTCTATCTAATAACACCTGAGCCACTTTTCTTGTCTCTTTCCTGCCTGCTTGATTGCAACTGTTTTAATACTGGAAAAATCTTGAGGCGCTCTTTTCTTTCCAAGCGGGTCAGGGATTCGTTCCTGGAGCACAGTCCCGATCTCTTTCTGCTCGTAATGTTCCATTGATTACTGTTTGTGAGGGTAGGACAGCTCTTTGAGTTTACATGGTTGAAAAAGAGACCGGAATATGGCCTAGCCTTATTCAGCTCTGGGGTGTCCATGATCCTGTGCCCGAGGGGATAATTGAATTGCAGATGGAACAGGTCGGCTCCTCTTGCCTAAGGATATGAATCATTTGCATTGTTATATCTAGTGTGCTGGACACTTCATTCTTCAGTGCGAGCCAGTCTCAAAATTATCTAAGTTATTTTTCTCCTGAGCCCATCAGTGTGGGAAAAACCCTATGTCAGTTTTTTAAAAAATTACGGGCTCTTTAGATGAACTCAAGCTGGTATTTAGAAACTCCCAGGATCTAACTTTCTTTTTTCAAGGACTTTTGGAGGGGATGATGGAAAGCCAGGGAAGATTCTTTCTTGGACTGTACTTCCTAACTGATGTTTGATAAGCCAAGATCCAGCACTTTTTTTTCCAATCATANTGATGATGATGATGATAATGATAAGTCAACATAAATGGCTCACCTACTGAGATATAGTCTCAGTTTTGTAGAGGAGCCACAGCTCTAAAACCAGAAGGCATTTTAGTTTTATTAAAACCTACACCTGGTCCAACATCAATTTTATTGGGTGGGTATGAAAAAGGACGCAGGAGGCTACGTGGCGAGTTGCCCTATATGTGCAGGGGGAAAAGGGATCATGTGCAAGCCACAGGGGCTACTACAGCAGGTTGCTCACCCCTCAGCATTCTGGAAAGAAATCTCCATGGATTTCATTGTTGAGCTACCTGAAAGCTCTGGGAACAGTGTGATTTGGGTTACCACCGACTTCCCCCCCCCCAAACAAGTACATTTTGTAGATTGCCCCAAAATCACCTCTGCACGAACCCTGGCAAACCTATTTGTGCAACAATATATCATCTACATGGGTCCCCCAGAGAGAATTATCTCTGATCAAGGAGTGCAATTCACCTCTGAATTCTGGCAAGAATTCTTGAAATTACAAGGGCCCTCCCAAGTTCTTAGCTTGTCACATCATTCTCAGACCAATGGTGCCTATGAATGTACCAATGGTGTATTGAAACAGTACCTGAGATGCTGTGCCCATTATCGGCAGGATAATTGGGCACGGCTGCTCTCATTTGCAGAGATAGTGTATAACAATGCAGCACATAGCAGCATGGGCTTGTCTCTTTCCAAGTTGCAACCAGCATTGACTTTGTAGGCATGCCAGAACTCCCAGAGGAGACACCTACACCCCTCTCTCTAACAGTGGGTGAAACAATAGCAAACCACATGGCCAGAGGTTCAGCAGGCACTGGATGAGGTCAGAGAAATGTATAAGAAACACGCTGACAAAAAGAGGACCCTGCAGGAAAAAACCCATGGGGAGTGGGTGAAGTTTATTTGTCTACAAGTATCTGCAGTCTAGACAACCTTCAAAAAAGTTTGTAGGTCCTTTTCCCAGTGTAAGAATGATTACCCAGTGACTGTTGAACTTAAATTACCTGTTGGGAGTATACTCCTAGTGTTGGGTAGGCAATATATATCTATATACAACAACAAATGGTTGTTGTTGCTTTAAGTGAGTGGATGTACTTATCAGGTGTAATTAACTTTACTATAAGAAGGAGTCAAGAGAGCTCACTCTCTCTCTCTGCTTGTCCTATGCTTGATGACTGGAATGTGAACTGCGACTGTAAGCTATTGTTTGTTCTTTGAATTGTGTTTGGACAAATATCTACTATCATCTACTATCAATGCTTGTGAAGCAATTATCAGTAGTAAAGCTACTTGTTTTTACTAGCAGTGTCTGAAACTCTATTCGTGTGTTTCTACTAGCAACATTCTTTCTCTCTAGCTGCAACTTTTCGCTGCACTACTTTCTGACTCCCAACGGAGATACCCCTAACACTGGTTATGGGCCCAGTGTACCCAGTATATCCAGAGTGCCAGCTGCAGCGTTAAGAAGGTGGAGTTGCTACACACGTTATAATTTTGCAAACATCTGGTTAGTCAGATATACCTGGGATGATGGCACAAGGCCAAACTCTGAATTTATCGTTGGCCACCCGGTTGGATGGCACAAACTACGTATCCTTAGGAGGATACATCCGGTCTTCCACTACAGTCTACTTAAAGTAGCCAAAACCCCTCCTTACAACCCCTTGCAGAAGCCCCTTCTCCTCCTGATCTCATAGAAGGCAAGCAACATTTTGAAGGAAAGGAAATTTTGGATTCACATTTCCAGAGGGGCAAACTCCAATACCTGATCTCATGGAAAACATTTCCCCTCCGCTGAATAAATTAAATTATTAACCTTTCACCTTTTCTTTTCATTTCCAGGACTGATGCCTTTTCCCAAGGAAGGCAGAATGTCACCTGCCACTTTATGCTGCGTGTGTTTCATTGCTATGTAGTGACAGGCTGCCATGAACTTTTGGGAGGGGGAATGTGAACATGAAAGGACATGTTTGGTGAACATTTTTTTTAAAAAAGTAAAACATTTTGGATGCAAATATATGCGTCAATTTAGAAAAATTTAAAGGTTAAATCAAGTATTATTGAAACCATAGATTGGATCTCTGAGAAGCCTCTAGAAAAAAGTCCCAGGATTTTGTCCTTAAAAGGATAATTGCAGTGAGACTATTACATGTTTAAAAGTAAAGAGCCGAGGTGGCGCAGTGGTTAAATGCAGCACTGCAGGCTACTTCAGCTGGCTGCAGTTCTGCAGTTCGGCTGTTCAAATCTCACTGGCTCAGGGTTGACTCAGCTTTCCATCCCTCCGAGGTGGGTAAAATGAGGACCTGGATTGTTGGGGGCAATATGCTGACTCTGTAAACCGCTTAGAGAGGGCTGAAAGCCCTATGAAGCGGTATATAAGTCTAACTGCTATTGCTATTGCTAGTGAGAGAGACTTGAAACAACCTACGTCAGAAGAAAAAAGCACGATTTGTGATTTTAAAGATTAGGGAGGAAAAAAAGAATAATAGAAAAAAGGTTTTTTTTGTCATAAATTTTGTGCTTGTACTTACATTTGCTGCAAAGGAAATTGGAAGCTTCTTGCTATTTGTTTTCACAAATCTACAATCCTTCCTCCCTTAGTTTTTATATCTTTTGTAAACTTTCAATAAAAAATGTACAAAAAAACACGATTCAAACCTTACCATGTCTGCCAAGAGTTTTCCAGCAGCCTGTTTCAGAGGGATTCCCTCCAATAGGGAGAATTGGGCTAGAGGACCATCTACAGGGCTATGGGGAGGCATTGTCATTCATTCTGCAGCTAGTCCTTCACTTATGACCATTTGTTTCACAACTATTCAAAGTTATGTACTGTACTTCTGACTGTCACTCCACCCTTGAAGTCAATTTGGGCACTTGGCAAACAGTTGCATTTACGACCAATTCTAGTGTCCTGCAATTACGTGATTGAGATTTGCAACTTATTTTTTGCCAATTTTTACCAAAAAATACCATTAGTACTTAGGCTTATACATCGCTTCACAGCTCTCTCTGGGCCGTTTACAAGAGTCAGCCATCTGGGTCCTCATTATCCCACCTTGGAAGGATGGAAGGCTGTGCCAACCTTGAGCTGGTCAGGATCGAACTGCTGGCAGTCGGCAGAATTGTCCTGCAATACTGCAGTCTCACCACTGCACCACCACGGTCCGTCCTTCCTTCCTTCCTTCCTTCCTTCCTTCCTTCCTTCCTTCCTTCCTTCCTTCCTTCGCACTTAGCAATAGCACTTAGACTTATATACCGCTTCATTGTGCTTTGCAGCTCTCTCTAAGCAGTTTATAGAGTCAGCCTCTTGCCCCTAACAATCTGTGTCCCCATTTTATCCACCTTGGAAGGATGGAAGGCTGAGTCAACCTTGAGCTGGTAAGGATCAAACTGCTGGCAGTGGGAATGAAGGATCAGCCAGCAATACCACATTCTAAACCACTGTGCCACCATAGCAAAAAATGCCTTTGGGGAAGCTGGATTTGCTTAACAACTGCTATAAAAATTGTCATAAAATTGGGTGGAGCTCACCATGACTTCTGATGAAAATTCTGGTCTCAATTGTGGTTGTAAGTCAAGGACTACTGTGTGGTGGATAAGGTTACTCAAATACGCTTAGAGGTGGGCTGTGGCTGGATGTCCAAGTGAGTTTCCTGAGGCTTGTGAGGTTATCTGGATGAGTTCAGTCCTGGGACACCTGAGGATGTGGACAAAACCCTTCAATATATGAGCCCACCCACCCATCCAGCAACCAGGCCCTTGGGTCTATGCAGTGACATCAGCACATTTGAAGGAACACTGTTCTTTCTTTCTGCCCTTGAAGAGGAAGCTGTGGGTCTCTTCCTCAAGATAATTTTGGATGTGCATTTTAACTTTTTTTAAAATAAACAAAAATAGAATAAGGAAAAAAGAGGCTATTGCTAGACAATGTAACAACCCCCTCCCACCCTCACCCCCATTCTGGATAACTATTGGCCATTTTCCAATCTTCCCTTTTTGGGAAAGGTTGTGGAGAAGACAGTTGGCGAGACGTTGCAGAGGATCTTGGAGGAAATGGATTGTCTAGATCTGCTACTGTTAAATAGGTTTACAGTAGTTGAGTTTGAGAATGATGTTGGGTGGAACTGGGAAGTGGCTGGTGTATTAATCCTTATGCCCTTTCCTTTCTCTTTGACCAGGGTAGACGTATGGACTGGATAGGGGGGGTTGGAGGGGGAGGCCCTGTGTTGCAGTGGCTTGCCTCCTTCCTCAGTGATCTGTCTTGGTCTCCTCTCAATTGGCAGGAGAAGACGTATCATGCCCATGGCCCCTCACTTGTAGGGTGCCTCAGGGTTCCATGCTTTCTCCCCTTTTGTTTAACACAGGGGTCAGCAACCCGTGGCTCTGGAGCCGCATGTGGTCCTTTCATCCCTCTGCTGTGGCTCCCTGTCGCTGGTCGGCTCCACAATTGATAGGGCTTTCAGTTAGGACAGGTAGAGGAAAAAGGAAACTCTTTGATGGAGGAACCGGACTTCCGGTCAGCAGGAGAAAAAGAATGCCATGCTAGGAGGAGACTCTATGGTAGGGGAACTGGACTTCCGGTCAGCTCCAGAATTGAACAGGGGGCTTCCAGTTAGTGTGGCTCTTTGAGTGTTTAAGGCTGACTCCTGGTTTAACATCTAATGGAACTGCTGGATGAGGCAATCTGTCAATATGCTAATGATACCCAGTTATACATTATAACCTAGCTGTCAGGCCTGCAGTCATATTCCTTTTAGGATCTTTGGCCTGCCACACTCTCCATTATTTTACTATGCTGTTTCATTAGTGGAGTAATTGGTAGAGGGAATAGTAAGGAGTAGAATTGTAGAATGTGTTGTCATTCTTTTCTAGAAGCCCAAGTACATCTTTTGTCTCCGCCCCTCTGCACCTGACCAGAATTAGATGGGTGGAAATGCCAGCGTGGCAGTGGAAGATTGGACCATGGGATGGACTTGTGGGTGTGGGGCAAGAGGATGAACTTTCAACTGGGTGGAAAACCCAGGAAGCTTTCAGATTTGAGTTTCCCACAGATGTACCAACATGTCTCTCTTAATAAATTGGAACTTTGAGGAAAGCTCTGCCTTGGACTCTGATTTAATTCTGGATGATATTTGGAACGCTGAACTTGCATTGGGCAGGTGAGACTGTTGATGTATTTGACCTAATATCTAGAGCAGTGGTAGACAACCTGGTCCCTACCGCCCATTAGTGGGCGTTCCAGTTTTCATGGTGGGCGGTAGGGGTTTGCTGTAACTCTGCTTTATAAATTTTATAAAGTAAAGTTACTTCCCTACTTTATAAATCACCATTACTGTGGAACCGGTGGGCGGTTAGAAAATTTTACTACTAACAGAGATACAAAAGTGGGTGGTAGGTATAAAAAGGTTGACTACCCCTGATCTGGAGGCTGGTTGGGTCTGGATGGAGTAGAACTGTCACGGGTCTGCCCCTGGACCGATGTTCTGACCCAGCTCCCAAAAATGACCAAACCTATGAAATGAACTCAAACGCTGGCTAACAAGTCCATCTGGCAGGGAGATGAATAGTTGTCTGCTGCATCTATTCATCTCCACCCCCTGCCTTTTATCCCCAGAGCTAGGGTGGGGCTTCGCTAGCAATGGTGGCTCTTCCATCCCAAGGACCGGCCCACAGATTTCCACTGCTCTCCTCTCCTCTGCCTTCTGCGCATTCATGCGTCAGGCACTGGACCCAGCTGTTCCTCCTCTTCCTCATCAGCCACCTCCAGACCTGGGGGCTGTTGACTCTCCATCTGAGGGCTGATGGACGGCCCAGGCTCCACCTCTCTCTCTCTCTTTGCCAGCTCCATTCCCTCTTCCCCCCTGGAGCTCTCAGGTTGCCTTGATGCTGACCTTGACTCCCATGACTCCTCCTCCACCTCTGATTTGGCTGCAGGTTCAGAGGAGGAGGAGGGTGAGTTTCGGTTGGCAGAGGAGAGTGAGGCGCCAAGCATATCTGGCTGGGGAATTCTGGGAGTTGAAGTCCACAAGTCTTAAAGTTCCCAAGTTTGGACACCCCTGTCCTATGGGATTCTAGTCTTCTGCTTGAAGGGCAATTTGAAGGGCAGGTATTTGTACAGGTGCACCTTGTGTAATAATCGTGCCATTTCCTTGACCAGGAAGCCCTTCAGACGGCCACTCAGGCCCTGGTCACCTCAAGGTTGGACCACAGCAATATGGTCTATGTGGGGCTGGCCTTCAAAACCATCCAGAAGCTGCAGCTGGTACAAAATTCGATGTTATGAATCACTACTGCTATGTGAGCTTGCCAGTTGGCCTCTGGGTGCCATTCAAGTCATTATTACCTATAAAGATTTTCATGGCCTAGAGCCCACTTAGTCGAGTGACTTTGTGTCTCCAATTGTTTCAGCTTACTTGGTACATCTGGGCGCAACTCAGCGCTGCTGTCTTGTCCTCTGAAGCATTTCTTTGTCAGGTGCCCCTCCCCTCTGGAATAGCACCCCCCCCCCCCCCTGAGATATTGCTTTGGGAGAGCCTTTAAGATCTGGCTCTGTTCCCAGGGCTTAATGTGCTTGTTATATATTGATGAAGCCTGTCGTATTTTTATGTTGCTTTATAGCTGTTTTGGTCAGGGTCGTCCCTTTCTGTAGGTTCTAACTGTTTTAGTGCTTTGCAAGCCTTCCAGAGTTTTCACCACAAATATAATGATTAAATTAAATTAAAATGTGCCTTACCATCATGGTGCCTAAGTGATGAAGTACACCCTGTGATGTGTTAGTGCAAATACCGTCTCTCTGAATTTGTTTTGTGATGTTCCAGGCAAAACAGAAAAGGTGAAGCTTGGATTGTGACATTGTGAGACATACTTTATCGGACTTCCCAAGCCCACCCACCTCACACAGACACCCATGGGAGAACCGGAGATTGCTGGGAATATGAAAGACAGATCCACTAATTTAACCTTCTGGTGTAATAAAGCTCATTCACAGAGCTTATGTATTAGTATAAATGTCTGTTTCACAAAATTGCATAGGAGGAGCCCCACAAGGCTGCAACCAGCAGCTCATCTCCACTTAATAAAGGTCTTCAAAAGGTTTTGAGTAATTAAACATTAAATAATCCATGTAATAGAAATCATAACTACGCTGCCTTTGAGAAGGAGAAAGCTGTGTAAAATATTGTTGTGTGATCTGAGTGGTTGTCCTCTCTTCATTGGAATGTCTATCTTTAAACCTAGGAAAAGTCAAGTTCTGGGGAGCATTTATCAAATGGAGGAAAAAGTTAGCGTCTTCTTCCATGGTTTCAAATTTCCCAATGAAGTCATAGTCTACTAAGCAAGGACTACAGAGCCTGTTGATGTGATCCCAGTGGATGTCCATGCCAACCGGCCGATGCACATCCAGAAGATATTGAATGAACTCTTTGAACTTGACCCCAGAGCCTGTCCTCAGAGCCTCCTTGGTGGCATTGGGGCGATACTTGGAAATAATGGGCCTGCCAAAGACGGGATGGTAATAATTGTTGGGATGCTCAAACTTGTCTCGAAATGCCGACACTAACTTCTCAAAAGGTTCGCGAACAAAGAGCATCTTAGTGTAAGTGCTGAGCCTGTAGTTGATCCCTTTGTGATCGAAAGCATCCAGCTTCTTCAAATAATTCCCATAATGGACCGTATTATGCTGAATCACCCTGGTTGAGGAGGCCAGTCCGTTGAGAACCATGAGGACTCTCTTCCAGTTGGAGCAGCCGGCCTTAGGGACTTCACAATATAAAATCCGATATTTATCTTCCACAAATATCCTGGACACGTGGTAAGGGGTGATTACTCTCTTGTTGTTGCTCTTGTACTTGGAGCAAGTCTCTCTCATGATGCGCTTCCTCTCTCTTTGGACCTCATAGAGGCTTCTCCACCTCAGCTCGTCCTTCGCCTCAGCTTTCAGGATGGGCAGGCCGAGGAAGGAACCATTCACGGCAATCCGGAGGGGGCTTCTTTTCAGGACAAATTTCCTCCTCCGTTGAGAGGCCCTGGCAGAATTAGTAGCTGAGCCTTTCCGTGGTCGGTCTCTGGTCCCTGCTGAAGCCTTCTGGACTTGGCCCGAGCGTTGCTGCTTCACAGACTCCTCTTGCACGGGGTGTAATGAAGCCCTCTGCTTTCCCACCGGAAAGGGATCACCTCCATTTGCCTGCGTTTTCCCGCCCTGATCATTGCTCGACGCGCCTTCCTAATGGAAGAAGAAGAACCAAGGCATTACTCAGGGAAGGCAGCATTCATCACAGCTGGCAGAGTTTAATGATGCCAGTCAGCTCTACNCACACACACACACACACACGGCTTGTATAGAGTATTTAACATTGTCTTCTGGCAAATCGACTTCACCCCTCCCTTAATGTCCCTCCCGCAGGCCGACTGTGCCGTCCTGATCGTAGCTGCTGGCGTAGGGGAATTCGAGGCGGGCATCTCCAAAAACGGGCAGACCCGCGAACACGCCTTGCTGGCCTACACGTTGGGCGTCAAGCAGCTCATCGTCGGCATCAACAAGATGGACTCCACGGAGCCGCCCTACAGCGAGAAGCGGTACGATGAGATCGTCAAGGAAGTCAGCGCCTACATCAAGAAGATCGGCTACAACCCGGCCACCGTCCCCTTCGTTCCCATCTCTGGCTGGCACGGCGATAACATGCTGGAACCATCTCCCAACGTAAGTTTTTTTAGCGGGGTGGGCAGTTCCGGGAGGGAGCTCCCGTTTCGAGTTTGCTTCGGGGCTTGGCTACATCTGAATGGTTACCCGTAAAGAGTTTTTAAAAATTAAAGGTGGCCTTAGAAAGATTGCAGTCTTTGCTTTTCAGAAAGACCCCCAATCCTGCTCAGTCTCAGAGTAACAGATTTGGAAGGGACCTTGTAGATCATCTAGTCCAACCCCCCCCCCCCAAAGCAGGAGACCCTACACCATTTCTGACAGATGGCATTCCAGTCTCTTCTTAAAAGCCTCCAATGATGAAGATCCCACAACTTCTGAAGGCAACTTCTGTCCCATTGGTCGATTGTCTTTCAAGCCTTTTCTTTGAATGGGAAAATACATTTGCACTTCAGGTAACTCAATAATTCTAGAGACTTATGAGTGCAAGTATTCTTCACCACCCCACTTGATGAAAAAGAGAGACAATTTGATACAGTGGCTAAGGTGTTGGCCTAGAAACCAGGTACTGTGAGTTTTAGTTTGGCTTTAGGCATGAAAGCTGGGTGGATGACTTTTGGCCAATCTCCAGGAGACAGTGAGTTCTAGTCCCACCTTAGGCATGAAAGCCGGTTGGGTGACTTTGGGCCAGTCATCACAAGATGGTGAGTTACAGTTCCAATTTAGGTAAGATATCCTGCTGTGGGTGATTTTGTGCCAATCCAGAAATGGGTTTCTACCGGTTCGCACTGGTTCAGGGGGTGTGCGAAGTGAACTAGTACCAACACTGGTAGGAATCCACCCCTGGGCTAGTCCCTCTCTCTCTCTGCCCAACTCCAACCCATCTCCCAAAGTTGTGGGGAAAATAGGAGAAATGATTTTCAGATATGTAATACTTCTTTGAGTTACTTATAAATTAATAAAGGTGAGTTTTAAAAAGTCTAATAAATGACCAAAATAAATGGCTTTAAACAAGTGTTTATGATTCTCTTAAAAGCTACCAGAAAGGGGCTTGAAAAAGAGAGATTCCTTCAGTATATGAGGGAAAAGCCCTCATTTAAAAAAAATGATTTGCACCAGTTTAGCAGCATTGAAGTAAGGGGATTCAACAGGGAATTCATGTTGCCCTTTGTGGCAACATAATGACTCCAGGCTAATTCCTCTCTTGACTCCGCCCCCAGGCTCTGCGTGTCCTTATCCTACAAGAATTCCTGGCAGCTTGGCATTCAGCCAAGTCAGCCATCAAGACTCTTGTAGACATAAGCCACATTTACCCTCCATTCAAAAGAGACAATAAAAACGCTAAGAAGAAAACAAATGAATATATCTCCACCATCACCCAGCATCCAGATAAGCAGGGATTAATGCCAGACAAACAATCAAACAGAAAATAATACTCTATCAAGGAGAAAACACGCACCCCACCAACACTTGCAGGTCAATCCACTGTATATAAAAAAGGAGCAAACCCCACACTCGCTTACGATCATGTTGCTGCTTTTCCCTACTTTATATTACATTGTGCTGATTTGTATCCCTTGTTTAGAAATTTCAATATCAGTTACCTACTTATTAATAAAAAGCAATGGTTTCCTTCTTTGGGGGGGGGGGATGTGTATGTGTGCCTGCATGGGAAATTTGGATTGTGCAATGGTGGGCCCCTCTCAAAATCACCCTCTTTGCCATTTTGTCGCTTAGATGCCTTGGTTCAAAGGATGGAAAGTGGAGCGCAAAGAAGGCAACGCCAGCGGGGTCTCCCTCCTGGAGGCTCTGGATACAATCCTGCCCCCCACTCGCCCTACAGACAAACCTCTACGCTTGCCTCTTCAAGACGTCTACAAAATCGGAGGTAACATCTGGGGGGGAAAGCCCGTCTTTGGTTGGTCCTAACCCTGAAATTTTAAGTTTCTGCAGGCTGCACCTTATTGCAAAAGTTAGCAACGCACTTCTGCAGGCCAGCAAGCAGGACTCCAAATATTATTATTGACAGACTCTCCAACATTAAGCACTTACTCAAAAGAAAAATGGAATTATGACATTGCAAAGCTTTGCAAGCCATTTGTTTCGACTAGACATTATAAAAAAGAACACGGGCGTCTATGGAGATTTCAGTCATTCCATTGTATCTCCATTTTATTTTATTTTATTTTATTTTAAAAATTGACACGTGAGATTGGGCAGAACTGCTTGTTTTTTTTCTAGGTTTTTTTTTTTTACTTCACCTGGGATTGTCGCTGGCTTCTCTCTCCGTGAATTTGGAAGCAACATTTTGTGTACTTCCCGAGCCTCAAATAATTCCTTTTTGCAAGAAGCAAGTGTATAAAATCAAGATAAAAGGAGTTTTGTACTCTTCTTGCAAACTTTGAAGAATAGAAATAACTATTCTATTGTTATTCAGATGCAGAGAAAAGACATCACAAATAGTCCTTGACTTACGACCGGTCCGTCGTTTAGCATTTACTTTTAATTTCTGCTAAAATACACCCATTGTGGACTATTGACTTAAAGACTGCCACAGAAAAAGCCCATAAAACAGGTACCATCATGTGGTGACCCACTTAACAACAAGGCCTTTGGCCTAATTCCAGAGTCAGTTATGGTCATAAGTCAAGGGCTTCCTGTAATTCATGAATGAGCTAACTAGTACGTATGGAAACGTCAAAAAACAACTTACGAACTTGTCGTTATTTAAATGCTTTTATTTTCTAAATTGTCATGGATCTCAAGTAAAAGTACAGTAAAGAAAGGAACAATATAGAGACTTGTGACTAGAATAAACAATATTAGTGATTAATAGAGGAGAATGTTAAATAAATCGCCTTGAATCACGAGATGGGCGGAAAATACATTTGAGATATCTATAACTGTCTGTCTATCTCTGTCTGTCTATAATCCTTCTATCATCTATCTATCTATCTATCTATCTATCTATCTATCTATCTATCTATCTATC